TCAAACCCTAATTTTAATTGTCAATACAATTCTTCAATTTTATTTAATTGCTGTTTAGGTATAAAATCAATCTCATCTTTTTAATCAAAATTAATTTAGGAATTTTGTGATTGAATTAATCTAATTTCACATTTGTCCCTGTGGATCGATACCTGGACTTGCCATTATTCTGATAGAATTTGGTATAGCTTAGTGATTATTTTTGGTGTGTTCAACGACCCATCAAATTTTGGCGCCGTTGCCAGGGACTTCTGGCGAAATTAGTTAATTTAAAGTTACATTCTTATTTTAATTTTTAGTTTAGGATTTTATGCTTTTGTGTTGCTAAGTGTGCAGAGTGTTTGAAATTTGAGCTATCACCGAAGTGAAAGCGGAGTGCAGCCAAGCTTTAAAAAGATAAAAAAAAAACAGCAGCACTAAAGTGAGTAAACAGAAGCAAACACTCACAAGCAAAGCACCAAAATGCTAAAACGAAAGGTGAAGCTCAAATAGAGGTTGGAGACAACGTCTACACGTCAAGTATCCGCAAGACGAGTAAAGCGTTTTCGTTGAACCGCTGTGAGTATTTCTCCTTTAGCATTCTGCTTTCATAACTTAGTGCACAGAGTCAAACTTTTTGTGTGTGTGTGGGTAGTGTATGCACAGGCGCCATTCTGGTCGCCCTGAATTGTGGAGTTTGGACCTTGAACTAGAAATGACTCTTAGCAGACTTAGGGCCACTGCCCGTGTTCCTTGGCTTGAGTATTCATATTCATACATTGAGCCATTAGAGATGGCAGATCCTAATGTCCCGAATGTGCCTAACCAAACCCTTAAGGATTATTTCACACCCACTGCATATACATCACCATCATGCATCCAATTACCCAACACCACTGCTGCTTATTATGAGATTAAGTCCAACACCATACAAATGCTCCCATCATTCCATGGACTAACTCATGATGATCCTTATAAGCATTTGAATGAATTTCTAGAAATTTGCTCGATAGTGAGGATCTAGAATTTCACAAATGAGGCCTTAATGTTGCGATTGTTTCCATTCTCGTTAAAGGATAAAGCCAAACACTAGCTAAATTCTTTACCTGGTAATTCAATCACAACTTGGGACCAATTACAATAACGGTTCTTAGAGAAGTACTTTCCCATAAGTAAAACCAACCAACTTAGGCGAGCCATCACAAACTTTGCTCAAATGAATGGCGAGCAATTCCATGAGACGTGGGAAAGACTTCGAGACCTTCTCCAACAGTGTCCCCACCACCAAGTGCTTGATTGGCAACTTGTTCAAACATTTTATTATGGCTTAACTAAGCCACACCGCCAAATGGTGGATTCGTCCTGTGCTGGGACATTCATGTCTAAAAATGATGCTGAGGCATAGCAATTGTTTGAAAACCTAAGTGATAATTCCCTTCACTATGCCTCCGCTGCCCGGCAAGTCCGACAACCAGTAGTTGGAGCCCCGAAAAGATGGGGCATTTATGAGGTCGGGCAAAACCTAGAGTTAGCCCAACAGGTAGAGGCATTGTCCCGCAAGATGGACCAATTATTAGCTACGGGACATACCCCTACCCAGCAAGATCAGCCACAATTTCACGAGGCATGTGTTATTTGTGCGAGCCCTGCTCATGACTTGAGTGAGTGCCCTTCGGCATCACAATTTCTAGAGTTAGTCCAAGAAAGCAATAATGCTAAAGGAGAGGCTTAACCCTAAAATAGAAAGGCTTAACGTTCTTCACAACAACTGCACTCAACGAAGATTGCTAAATAAAAACAGACAAAACTCACATATATAACTTTATCCAAAGACATCATCCATATCATTTCGATTGTCAGTTTTTTTGATTAATTCTTACTACTGTAAGCCCTAGCTTTCAGTTTCGAAACTAACATTGAAGTGTTATTAATGGAGTGAAATATAAGTAGTCAGAGTTATTTTGAGGTCCCAAAATAAGGAGATACTGACATTGACATTGAATACTGAACAAGTTGTGCATTAATTTCTCTTCATGTTCTACTGTTCAAATGGTGTGTGTAGTTGATGTGGTAACTGAAACAATCCATCAGTTGGTTTTACACGAGTATGTACCAACTATTAAAAAGAAATTTGTGTAGTTTAGGATAAGATTGGGTATGCGATAATCATGAAGAAGTACAAAGATACAAAGATCGTGCGCTGGATCTGAAGATTAAACAAAAGATAATCATTGTTCAAGTTGATAAGAGATCTCATGGGGAGGTTGTGGAAATCATTGAAAGGAATAGGCATAGAATTTTCACACTGAAGATTGATCTGGGAGGGGTTTTCTGGGCATCGCAGGTCTTTCAAGATGTTGGAACTACGAGTGTGGTGGGGTAGTTCTTCAGGAAGTATACAAACAGTTCTTCTGTCTTCTATCTTCAGAGTTATTCTATTAGGAAAGGTAAATTTGTGGAGTTATCCAAGTGGGTTGTTGGGATAAGAAGATCAAGCATTATCATTCCAGCAGGGGTCAATCGACAATGGTGGAAAGATGTGGCTGGGTTACTTGATACAATCCTATTTGGAATAAGGCAGAAGAACCACGTGAGAGGTACTGAAGGAAAGGATGCAGGAAAACAGATAAGACATATGACCATGGCAAATGATCCTAACGATGATGTTCAGCAGAATGGGGTAAATAAGGAGGTACATACAGAGGACTTGAGTCATCAAGAGAAAACATGGGTGAATAGAGGTAGGTCGTATGCGGAGGTTCTTAAGCATCAATCACCATTTTCAGTATCAAATGATTCTTCATTAGTTCTCTATCATGCGGTAGTGTGTGAGAGAACAGATTTTTTCATATCTTGGGAGCAAATAGAGAAGGTATTATATAAGTCTTTCAAGTTATCTATCAATCTTCGTCCCTTTCAGTTGAATCGAGCTTTGTTCTTCACCAAAACCAAGGAGATGACTATGTTCTACGGGGATAAAGGTTTGCAATTTTTTGATAAAGGTATTGCAGTAATATTGGAGAGGTGGTCTGATGAGAAGCATAGAAAATCTAATGTTATTGCCTCGTATGGAGGATGGGTTACAATTTGTGACTTGCCATTTAAATTATGGAATATAAGGATTTTTGAACAAATTGGTGCGAAATGTGGAGGGCTATTAGCAGTGGACAAAAGAACCAAGACTTTTGAAAATCTTTTTGAGGCAAGATTGAAGGTGAAAGGATCGACTTCTGGGTTTTTACCATCAACTGTGGAGATTTCGACAGATGAAGAAGCAATCACAGTGTGTGTGAAGTCTCGCTTTCAAAAGCTGTTAAACGCAGAGAGGGCCATCGGCAATGGAGTTTCCGGCATGGGCTTTCATCGGAGCTTGGGGTCGGAGGTAGGGAAGATGATAAGGTTGAGGGGACAGCTGGGACACGTGGTTGCCTGGTTTCCAAGGAAGTTGGGGTTCACGAAGAGGATCGTATTTTCGAATCAAGGAATGTCAATGATGAGGGACGGTCAAGGGGCGATATAGTTTGAATCGAACATGGGCGATACAGATCAGGAGAGGATTTTTTAGAAGGAGATGGACTGATGGGTAATATTGGGCCTAGGCCAGTTTTGGGCCTCTTTCATGAATCAAATAAAAAACAGATTGGTGGTGATGAGGGTATTAACTTGGGCTCAAATTGCAACCATAATTTGGGCCAAGATTTTAACCATGTGGGAGATGGTACATTGGGTCATAAAAGTTGTGCTCATAATCTGAGGTGTGATGGGCTTAACCCAGATCACTCGGGTATTTTTGTCCTAGGTCCGAAGCAAGGGCTTTGTTGGGTTAGGCAGACGACGGGTATCTCCGATGGTGAGGACGACAGGACCCAGACAACGAATCAGAGGGAAGATGGGTTTTATGGTAGCGACAGTCGAAAACTACAGGGTGTGGAGTTTGCGACTCGTAACATCAGTATGGAGCATGGGATTGATCAACGAGTTCTGAATCAACAAGATGGGTTAAACCCAAATGAAATTCATTTGGGCTTGGCAGATGTGGTTGATCGATCGACAGGGCAATTTCTCCAGATTGGGCAGCCCATTGGAGTTGATGGTGTGGATGAAGCTGATAATGATGCACTTGAAGTTTTTCCTGGTGTTGATCGAATGATTAACGAAGTGGATGTGGGTATTTGCGATCCACAAGGGGTGCTCCAAGCATTGGAAGGTTATGGTTCTCATGAAAGCTCTGATGAATCTCTAGGCCCCAACGAGGAAGTCACTACCTGTACCGAGGAGGAGAGGGTTGATGATTTTGATTCGAATCTCAATCGGCTTTTCCATGAAGAGGAGGTTCCATATTCCTCTTGTAATCAGCACACTGTGGGGACTGAGGGTGAGGCAGTTTTTGACTATGGTGAAAAGGTTTGTGATTCTTTTGACAGGGACGACATGAATTCTTCACCTCCTTCTCGTATTCAGGGTATTCATTCTGTGTCTGTCAGGGGAGGGGTGGTGGGAGAGTCATTTGTGGGTATAATGGTTTCTAACAAGAATGATAATTGGCCTCTGTTAAATACATATAGGAACTCTACCAATGGCAGTTTGAACCCACATGCGAGTAACATGGACACTCATAGAAATGATCTTTTAATGGAGGAGTCTCCTAATCATAAGCTTCAGAGGAACAATGTTTGTGGTCACGATGGTGATGAGTCTGCAAGGCGGTTAAGGAAAATGAGTAAGTATGTGTCCTTCCCTTTGGAGGAGGATGATGTGCCTCCCTTTGCACAATTACTTGACACTCTTGGGTTACCATTAGTAAGTAGAGGTGGGAAGAAGATTTGGTTTAGGAGGGAGGGGTTTACATTTAAGGGGGGTGGCAGGCATAGAGGTTTGAGGCGAAGAAAAGGGTTGAGGGAATTAAGAAATCTTGAAAGTAGCGTCAATTATAAGGGGCGGGGGAATGAGACAAGAGATGATGATGGTTCTTGATGAAGATCTTCAGTTGGAATGTTAGAGGACTACAGTCTCGTAGGAAAATGGACGTAGTTAAAGAGGTTCTGAAAATGCAACAACCAGACATAGTGATGTTTCAAGAGACAAAGTGTGAGGAGTGTGATAGGATTTTTATTAGGAGTGTTTGGGGGACTCGATTTAGGAGATGGGCTGTCTTGCCTTCTACAGGGAGATCCGGGGGAATTCTGATTATGTGGGATGATAGAGTCGTATCGAAGTGTGAGGTAGTTGCTGGGGTATTTTCATTGTCTATTAACTTCAGGAATAGGGATAATAAGGTATGGTGGCTGACAGGGGTTTATGGTCCTATTAAACCCGGGAGTCGGCAGGAATGGTGGGATGAGTTAGCAGGATTATTTGGGCTTTGTTCCCCTAATTGGTGTGTGGGTGGGGATTTCAATGTGGTTAGGCTCGCTTCGGAAAAACTCAATGGGGTTTCCACCAGTAGGAGTATGAGGGATTTCGATTCTTTTATAAGGGATTGTGAGTTGATTGATCTTCCCTTGAGTAATGCACGGTTCACCTGGTCTAACCTTCAGGAAAATCGGGTGTGTTGCAAGTTGGACAGGTTTCTTCATACTTTAGGATGTAAGGAGTTATTTCCGGACATAAGGCAAGAGGTTGGGCCAAGAGTTGTGTCAGATCATTGTCCTATGATTCTTGAGAGTTGTCCTTTTAAATGGGGTCCCAACCTATTTAGGTTCGAGAATATGTGGTTGGAAAATCGATCTTTTAAGGAGTTCTTTAAGGATTAGTAGGAAAATGGTAGAGTCCATGGGTGGGAGGGCTTTAAGTTTATGCAAAAGTTTAGAGGAGTCAAGGATAATTTAAAAGTTTGGAAACGAGAAGTTTTTGGAGATATAGGTGCGGTGAAAGCGGGTTTAATTCGGGGTATTGAGAAATTAGATGTGAAGGAGGCCGGGGAGGGTTTATCTGGAGCGTTAAGGGATAGGTGGTTAATGCTCAGAGTGAAGCTGGAAGAGATTGTTTTTAGGGAGCAGATTTTTTGGGGTCAAAGAGCTAAGTTGAAATGGGCTAGAGAGGGTGATACCAATTCTAGATTTTATCATAGAGTTGCGTCGGGAAAGAGAAAGAAGAGTTTTATAAAAAACTTGGTAGTGGCTCAGAATAAGGTTATGTGTAAGGAGAAGCTTATTGTCAAGGAGATTTTTAATTTTTATTCAAATTTATATTCTGACGGAGGTGTGGATCATCCAGGGATTGTTGGCATTAATTGGGCTCTAGTGGAGTTAGTGATGGCTAATTGGCTTGAAAGGCCTTTTGAGGAGGATGAGATAAGACAGGCTGTATTTGAGTGTGAAAGAGATAAGGCTCCAGGTCCGGATGGTTTTTCAATGGCCGTATTTCAAGATTGTTGGGATATTGTAAAAAGTGATCTCTTGAGAGTGTTTGGTGAGTTCTTTGAGAGTGGGAAGGTTAATTTGTGTACCAACGCATCCTTTATCTGTCTAATTCCTAAGAAAGAGGGGTCGGCCAAGATTGAGGATTTTAGACCCATTAGCTTGGTTACTTCTCTCTATAAGATTTTAGCAAAGGTGCTTTCTAGGAGACTTAGAGTTGTCCTTGGGGAAACTATTTCCTTGGCACAAGGTGCGTTCGTGCAGGGTCGACAGGTATTGGATGTAGTCTTAGTGGCTAACGAGATTGTGGAGGAGTATAGGGGGCTACGTAAGGAAGGTGTTGTATTCAAGGTAGATTTTGAGAAGGCATATGACCATGTTGATTGGGGCTTTATGGATTTTGTTTTGGAAAGGAAGAGGTTTGGAGTTAGGTGGAGAATGTGGATTTGGGGGTGCTTGTCGTCATGTAATATGTCGGTCATTGTGAACGGTAAAGCTGGGGATTCTTTTCTAGCATCTAAGGGTCTAAGACAGGGTGATCCTTTATCACCATTTTTGTTTATTTTAGTTACTAATGTGTTGGGTAGGATTATTGATTTAGCTAAGGATAAGGGTGTCATTGAGGGGTTTGTGGTGGGAAGGGATATGATTGGAGTTACTCATTTACAATTTGCGGATGATACTATATTCTTGTCATCAAAGGAGGAAAATAAAGTGGGGAGTTTACTACAGATTCTGAGAATTTTTGAAATTGTGTCGGGCCTTAAGGTCAATCTTAACAAGAGCAATGTTGTGGGTAGTAATTTGGATGATAGTTATGTGCATAGGGTAGCGGATATGTTAGGATGTTCTATTGATTCCTTTCCTATCAAATACTTAGGGCTTCCATTAGGAGGAGATCCCAGATTGGCGTCCTTTTGGGAACCTGTTCTTGTCAAAATTGGGAAAAGATTTGAGGGTTGGAAGCGAGCTTTGTTGTCTAAGGGGAGGGGGGAGATATATTTTGGTACAATCTGTATTAGGATTTGTTCCTATCTATTTCCTATCCATTTTCAAAATCCCGATTAGCATTGCGAGGAAAATTGAGAAATTGATGAGAGACTTTCTTTGGGAAGGGTGTGAAGAGGGCAAAGGGGTTCATTTGGTTAGGTGGGATACGGTTTCTCTTTCTAAGGAAAAGGGTGGATTAGCTATTGGAAACATCATTGCTAGGAATATTGCTCTTTTGGGCAAGTGGTTGTGGAGATTTTCGATTGAAAGTGATTCGCTGTGGTGTTCATTTATTCAAAGCAAGTATGTAGTTCAACCCAATGGTAGAGATTCTAATGTGGTTAATAGAGGCAATTGTCGTTCACCGTGGAAATTCATTTCTTGTTTGTATCCCCTTGTGTCTAAATACTTCTCGTTGAGAGTGGGGAATGGGGTGAACATTCGCTTTTGGGAGGATGTTTGGTTAGGGGATATCTCGTTTGATAGATTTTTTCCCCTTCTTTACCGGTTTGTTTGCTCTTCAAATGTTTTGATAGCGTCAGTGGCTTTCTCTTCTATGGCATCCATCTCTTGGAATTTTGATTTCATTAGAAACTTGAATGATAGGGAGGCGGGGGAGATGGCATCTTTGTTGGTAGTGCTTGAGAGGGTCTCTCTTTCTTCATCTTGTGGTATTAGGGTGTGGAATCTGGGCTCTTCAGGTGTCTTTTCATGTAAATCCTTTTTTGATAAGCTCATTTAAAATTCAGTGGTTAAAAGCCCAAAAAAAGTTGGTTTGAAAGTGGAAAACAAAAGTGCAAAAGCCTTTCAAACAAAAAAGAAAGAAGGGTGAAGCACCCCCTAACTTAAAATGGTCTCAAACCATCACTTTTGGTTCACCAAAACAGGTTTTTTTTTACAGTTCACAGCAACCCAAAAATAGTGGGAAAATATAGCAAAATGAGTATGCAAAACAAAATATACAAGACAAGTGCCATACCTCTTGAACGAAAGAGTAATTCTAGGCAACAAACCAAGCAAATGCCACCTTCTAGAGCTCAAACTAAGCCCAAGAACACCTCAACTCAGAGATTAAGGGATTTGGTTAAGGGTGTATAGGCAAGAGTGTGGGAATTGTAGACAAAAGTGTAGGAAATTTGTAGAGAGAGGAAAATTTTGAGTTTAAAATTTTCTAACCTCTAAACATGAGAGAGGGGGTCCCTATATATTGAAAACATGAAATCTATACAAGGAGATCCAACCCTCCACGTGTGGACAGATGCAAGCATCTGTGCAAATAGCTCGCACAGTTGGCATAAAATATCTACAGAAAACACTAGTGGTCGGCCGGCCACCAGTGGTGGCTGGCAAGGCATCATTGATGGCCGGCAAGGCACATCAATGGTTGCCAGACAAGAAGTGCTGGCCGGTAGCCTCCAAGGATGGCCAGTAGGCCACCAGAGATTGCAAGCTGGAAAGACCAAGGCATGGTCCAAAAATGAGACAAAAATGATGTAGGGTCTGAAAGGCTCAAAGCTGTGGCATTCCACTGAGGACCTTGAGCGCTTGGCGAGCAAACAGACTCATCATCGGATGTACCTGCAAGAATATCAAAGTCTTGAAGGGCCGTCAAAAATGGGGTGTGTACAGAGTGAGTATATGAAGAATGTAGCCTTTTTGTATTTTCCGCACATCAAGGGGGTGAACAAAGATAACAAAATGATCGAAAAAGTGCATCGCATACAAACATGTTTCACACGAATGAAGAATAAAGGGTGCAATCCAAACACGCTCTGCACGAGAGGAAGAAAGGTTGTAACCAACAAGCATGCCTAAACGTATTTCATACGAAATGGAGAAAGTATAACTAGGGTGCAATCCAAACACGCTTCACGCGAGAGGAGGAAAGGTTGTAACCAACAAGCATTCCTAACCATATTTCATACAAAAAGGGAGAAAGTATAGCCAAGGTGCAATCCAAACACGTTTCGTGTGAGAGAAAGAAAGGTTGTAACCAACAAGCAAGCCTAACCATATTTCATACAAAAATGGAGAAGGTATAACTGAGGTGCAATACAAACACACTTCGCACAAGAGAATGAAAGGTGTGTAACCAACAAGCATACCTAACTATATTTCTTATGACAAGGAAGAAGACATAACTAGGGTGCAATCTAAACACAATTCGCATGGGAGGAGGAAAGGTTGTAACCAACAAGCAGGCCTAGTCGTATTTCATACGAAAATAGGGGAAGGTATAACTGAGCTACAATCCAAACACGTTTCACGCGAGAGAAGGAATGGTTGTAAACCACAAGTACGCCTAACCATATTTCATACGGAAACGGGGAAGGTGTAACCAGGGTGCAATCCGAACACGCCTCGTACAAGATGAGGAAAGGTTATGACCAACAAGCAAGCCTAACCGTATTTCATATGGAAAGGAAGAAGGTATAATCGAGGTGCAATCTAAACATGCTTCGCGCTAGAGGAGAAAAGGCGTGTAACCAACAAACATGCCTAATTGTATTTCATACGAAAAAGGGAAGGTATAACCGAGGTGCAATCCAAACACGCTTTGCACGAGATGAGGAAAGCCTATAACCAACAACATGTCTAACCGTATTTCATACGGGAAGGGAGAAAGTATAATAGAGGTGTAATATAAACACACTTCATGCAAGTGGAGAGAAGGTTGTAACCAACAAGTAGGCTTAATCGTATTTCATACAAGAAAGGGGAAGGTATAACCAAGTGAAAAAAAATCAAAATGTGTTTCACGAGAAAAGGGTGAACGCAAGTCGAAACATATTTCATGTGAAATGGGTGAAATTATAGCCAAGGGATAACCAACCTAAATGTGTTTCATACGAAAAGGGCGAATGCAGCAAGATAAACTATGCGATGTGATAGACACATCATGCAGTGGGATGGATGCACCAAAACGGTGTGATAGATACACCTCACAAGTTTGGAAATGCTGTTCGTCGAACATCTCAAGGAGCGATACCCTGGAAAGCATCTCACAGGCTTGAAATAGCGCCTGGGCGGCCTTATTTCATGAAAAGGGTGATTTTCCTTCGAACATCAAATTTTGAAAAAGGTTTTGGAACTCAATGTGTAGGTCTATCTTGTTCCTGGAAGAAATGTTTTATGAAAATATCTTTGGGAAAGGGTACTTGTTGGAAGTACCTCATGAGGAGAAACATAGATGGTATGAGGGGATGTACGTCATTTGAATGCAAAACGAATGGTGCGAGGGGGCGCACCTTATTTGAAAAACATTATAAGTAGAAAGAGTGCATGATGCAATTCTCAAGACATAGATGGCACGGAAAATAGTTCGTAATCGATGATGTGATATTTGCATAGTGTATGTAGTGACACGTGATGCAACTTATGAGATAAGTAGTACGGAGAGTGAT